AATGAGTTGATTAGGTGAATTACTAGACCTAACAAAGCCACATCAGGGTCAAGAGGCAATCGTGCATCGGGAAATATTAGAATTGACGGCATCTTGAAATTCTCTTCTACGCTGTCTGTCGTGTGCTGTAAATAAAGGAGGTGCTCTAATGTTAACATATCCCATGGAAGGAAAAAGAAAAATATTTGACACTCTCGTTTAAAACTCTGATAAAACCTTGTTCATTCGCTTTTTGATCACTTACATCCTCTCTAATTCTCACACACACAAAAAAGCAGTCTTGTCTCACTTTTCAGCAAAGATTTAATGGTATTGTGTTATAGTGTTAACGTTAAGGCCATGTCTCTATTATGGGGAGTATACCAGCGTCACTACAGCATATCCCCATAGTGCAGATGCAGTCTTCACAGATCGAAGGAATTTATCCATCGGTGTTAGAACACCATCTCCACTAGTGACAGTAGTGAAGTTGATGAAAGCATTCTTCTGTCAACCTAGTTGCATACACAGTAAGTTGGCATGCCTACATCTCTCAAGGTTGTGGATTATTCGCATCCCAGAGCACCATAGCTATGTCAACCTAAATTTAAGTGTAGACCAGGCCTAAAACTCATTTAAGTAAGACTCTTATTACCAATGTTCTGTGAAGCCTGTTGCTCTTTCATGGATGCATGAGTTATAATGGCAAATGTATTCTCTATAGTAAAAATTATAACATTTTTCATCCATACATCTCAAAGTATTTTACAAAAATGAGTAAATGTTATTGTTCCAGTATTACAGACGGTAATTGAGGCACAGAAAGGATAAGTTATTTGCCCCCATGTCACTCAGCAAGTCAATGAAAAGAACTGGGAATACCACTCAGTTTCTCTGATTACTAGTTTATGCTCTTTCAGTTGGCCACAGATGCCTAAGGATCCACAAGAACTGGACCAGCATTTTCTGCAGATCTTGGCCTTCTACTAGAACTGCTGACAGCAACCCCTCACTCTTCCACTCTGCTGCATTCCCCACCTCCCACAGAACAATGTGACAGCTCACGAACAGCTGTGCCACTGTGGGAGTGACTCAAGTACACCGCTACCTCAATATAACACGACCCAATATAACACGAATTTGGATATAATGCGGTAAAGCAGTGCTCCGGGGGGGGCGGGGCTGTGCACTCTGGTGGATCAAAGCAAGTTCAATATAACACAGTTTCACCTATAACACGATAAGATTTTTTGGCGCCCGAGGACAGCGTTATATCAAGGTAGAGGTGTAACTGATATTTGCAATTAAGGCCTCATCCAGAGAATGCCAAGCATCTGCAACTCCCATTGAAATCAGTCTTCAATCCTATACGAGATCATGACCTTGACTTTCTCATTCAGAGAGCAAAATCTCATTTGATTAGGGGCTCTCGTTAAAAACTGTTCCACAGTGATTTACATCTCTCATTTACTTTTAGTCTATTCCAGCTGTGTACTTTAGGATCCTTCCCTGTTAGAGCTATTACATAGGAGGCCCTCTGAGTAATCAAGAAACCATTTTAGCATTTGTAATTTCTCAGGTTTGTGTCATGCACCAGGTTATAGTCCAGTGGGAAGGGCTGGTAATCAAAACCTCAAAAGTTTTTTCAATCAAAGACAGAAAATGGTTTTCAGGACAGAATTTACTGAGGACCTTGTTATTCCAGCTAGTGGGTAACCTGGTTATGAACGTCATCAGTTATTTACAGTAGAACCTCAGAGTTACAAACAGCTTGGGAATGGAGGTTGTTCATAACTCTGAAATGTTCGTAATTCTGAAGAAAACGTTATGGTTGTTCTGTCAAAAGTTTACAGCTGAACATTGACTAAACACAGCTTTGAAACTGTACTTGAAGAAGAAAAATGCTGCTTTCCCTTTTTTAGTCGTTTGCATTTAACACAGTACTGTACTGTATTTGTGTTTTGGTTCTTTTTTTTTGGAGGGGGTCTCTGCTGCTGTCTGATTGCGTGCTTCCGGTTCCAAATGAGGACCCCAAAAGTTTTTTTGCAATTTCTTGTCATATAAAGTAAACAAAAAATAATTGTTTCTTTTTAAGCGAATAGAAGATGGTAATTACCTAGAAAATACCACCTTTTTGTTGCTACCCTCTAGTGTAATACGTGGCGTATATTCTGAGTATTATTATTATGAATGTATTTGAATTACTGTAGCAAGTAGGGGCCCTAGTCATGGACCAGGACACTGTTGTGCTAGGCACTGTACAAACACAGAACAAAAAGACTGTCCCTTCCCCCAAAGAGCTTACAGTCTTATGAGCAAGAATTTAAACTAAGACTTTTGGACATCACTAGTGGTTTTCTTTCTGATGCTTCAATTTCTGGGTGCCCAACCCAAGACACCTTTTAAAAGTATTGAATTTTCCCTCAGCACTTTCTGAAAATTAGGCCCCTTTAAGGTGTCTCAATTTGGGCACCCAGAAATTCAGACACCTAAAGTCACTAATCATTTTTAAGACTCATGGCCTAATCTTGGCCTCTTGCTTGAGTCCATCTAGTTGGCAAAGGCCATTTCGTTATTGGCTTTAATTCTGAAAACCTTACTAACCTTTCCTAGGTCATATGTCAGATAGTGTATGTATATTGGGACCACAAAATGGCATACATCCATGAAACCAACAGTGAAAGAAATATGTGGCATTTCCAGTCAGGAAAAAAAAAAAAAGTTAGAGGCCCTTGGGAGGGGAGGGAGAGAATCTTCTATCAGGAGACAATCTACCCTACTTTCTTTTCTCACATTCTTAATTCTGTGACTTTTACTTGCTTTATCGCTTTTCCTGATTCCCTGCAGGCCAATGCTGACAGCTAAGCCTCTGTTTTATCTTGAACTGTTCAAACTTTGTCAGAAAATGACTTACCCTGCTGCGTTTGAAAGTGGCTGCATGATTGCAACGACCCACCTACTGGTTGCTCAGGGTCCAGATGATCACCAGAGTTTGAGTGAAATCGTAATGACAGCCCCGGAACAGCTGGCAGATTGTTAAAATGTATGCTCTTTTACTGCTTCCAATAGAAGGCCAAGAAATTGAATTAATTTTTTTTATTCCATCTAAAAACAATTATCCAGCTCCGATCTCACCGTAATATCAATATCCAAAGAAGAATATTAGGTTTTGACACCATTTGTTAACACAGTCATGTTGCTAGAACCACTTCTGAGCAAAGTCATGCAATTTGCATTGTCCATAGTTGTTCTGATTGTTCAGTCTGTGGTCTTCGATAGCTGCCTCCAGCCTTAACTGCTAAATATCCATGCGGTTTTTCAGCCATTGGACCAGCACAAATCAGCTTTACAACACACTAGTATTGCAATAGTCACAACCATTAGATCATGCAGAGTGTATGATAAAATGTAGATTTTCAGTGATAGTGGCACCATTCATGCCTCTAAAAATCAGGCTCCATTGAAGTTTCTCTTGTACATTTTCAGTGGCTTTTATTTGTGCCGAAATTTGATAACGCCATGAACAGCTTTCTATTACAATACAAGATAAATGGAGACAAGAACCGGAGACATCTCTCTATGCCCTCAATATCTCTAAATAATAACATTCACATTGTGTTTTACATCTTCGAAGTGCTGTACAAGCAGTAACTCATCCCCATGATCACCTCTGAGCAGTGGATATATAAGTAAATATGTTTATCGCCATTTTATAGAACATGGAGGGAGAGAGGCCACATATTTTCTTGCCCAAGGCCATAGAGAATCTTGTGCCTGTGTAAAGACAACCTAAGACTCAACTTCATTCCTTCCTCTCTCAAGAAGGGGCTGTAAGACCTGTACTTCAGTTCTGATTTTGGGGTGATGTCATTTTGACAATCACTCCAAAGAAAAAGGAAGCTAGCACTTAATATTTTAAAGCCGAGGAGGAAATCAGTAGCAAAGTGAGGTCTCCGGTAGACCCAAAAACGGAGCCGTAGGAGCACAGACTGTTGTGGTGCTGTTTTGCAGTTCATCTTTAAGTTTCTCACTAGGGTAGAATGGAATTACTCAAATCCTTAAAGTTACAGATATGCTTAAGTGTTTTGCTGGAGCAGGGCCTCACTTCTTAATCCAGCTCAAGACCTAATGGGATGAATCTAAGGTTGTACTTCACACAAGAGTGCCTTGTTTTGGATTAACACACATTTTTGTTTCCCTTCTTTCGTAGGTAGAAGTGCAGTTTTCAATGTGAAATTTGTATACTGTCTAGCTAGTCCATTTCCTCCTGTCTTCAGTATTTTGGTAGGGACTGATCCTGTTGAGTGCCTCTTACAACATACTGAGTGTCCTCAACTCCCGTTAAGGTCAATGAGATTTGAAGGCACTCAGCATGTTGTAGGAGGCACTCAGCACGCTGCAGGATCGTTATGTCAATAATCTCTAGAGTAGACATTCAAAACCACACAATATGATTGCTAATGGCACAGATGCAGGCCAGACAGCCTAGTGGATGAGTTACTGAAGAGGGACTTAGGATAACTGGGTTCAATTCTTGGCTCAATCACAGATTTCCTGTGTGATTGTGAGCAACTCAGTTAATCTCTCTGTGCCTCAGTTCCCTATCTGTAAAATGGGCATAATACTTCCCTACCTCACAGTGATGATGTGAGGCTAAAATCTGTTATTGATTTGTGAGGTGATGGTGGTAAGGGTCATATTGGTACATAGACAGATTTGCCAATGACTTAATGAAAGACCTAATGATGAACAAAAATAATAATAAGCCATTGGTCACCTTAAGAAAAGTTACCTTTAGCAAATTAAAAGTTGTAGACTGTGATATATGCCTTCCTACATGTATGACAGCTGGTATCGTTGCTTCTACACTGTTGTAATATAGGACAGTGTTTCACCAACGCAGTCTATAGGGCCAGATTTTAAATAGTCACTTTTTCATTAATGAGTAGTAATATGAAAAAAATCTGTATATTAAAATATTTTTTTTTATTTTTTTTTCTCTTCTTCTTCTTCCCTTACAGCTCATGGCCAATGCTATCCTGTTTGTCAGTGTAAATTTGTATGGGGTCTTTGTGAGGATTTTGACGGAAAGGGCTCAGAGGAAGGCATTCCTTCAAGCCAGGAACTGCATAGAAGACAGGCTAAAGCTGGAGGATGAAAATGAAAAACAGGTCAGTTTAAAAGTGCTCTTCTTTCTTTGGTATCATTATAGATACATGTACTGTAAGTTGAGAGACTAATTCATGAGGAAAGGTCTTTAATTACCTTATTGCCAGGGGAGTTTCTCTGCTTTGCATTTTACTCTTGATCTGCCACAAAAACATAACATGCAGGAGCATCCACATAGTTAGCATTAGCTCACGCACCAAAGTGGAAAATTTCTAGGCTGGGGAGAAAGGTAACATTTTAGACAATATAGAAATCATATTTTTATTTGCATGTGGAATGTAAGGTGGATTTTAGACATCCTGTACAAATTTCTCTTTGCCTAGGTGTATGTCTGCACCTCCCATAAATATTAATGAGAGTTATGGTAAAAACACACTTTACAGGGAGAACAGACTCCAGTGTTTCAGCCAAACAGTTTGAACCACAATCCATCCCTCCACTCATTTAAAAATAGTACTGTTTTTAGTATATTTCACTTAAAACTACAGCAATCAGCCTTCCACACTGACACGGAAATAAGGTATGATAAGGAAAATCACTGCAGCAAAACTCATTATCACTCTTGAGGCCTGATCCAAATCCCGCTGAATCCCAGTCAGTCTTTCTATTGACTTCAGTGGAGTTTGGATCAGGTCTTCGTTGTGGTATACTGTTCATAGTCTATGATGAATATGTAGGGCCTTTTCTTTAAACAACTTTGGGTAGTTGGGTAAAATGGGACTTGGATCCAAGTCACTTCTTGGTCTTAGGTTTGGTTTTGTGAAACAAAACCCGCTCTGGTGAGATTTTCCAAAATCAGGTCTTCCCCCAACCCTATCATTGTCTATCTCTTTTTGTAACACAGTCCAAAACAGGGACCATAGATCATAGAAATGTAGGGCTGTAAGGGACCTCAAGAGGTCATCTAATCCATCCCCCTGTGCTCAGGCAGTATCAAGTACACCTAGATCATCCCTGACAAATGTTTCCCCAACCCGTTCTGAAAAACTTCCAATAATGGGGATTCCACAGCCTCCCTTGAAAGTCTATTCCAGAGTTTAATTACCCTTATAGTTAGAAAGTGTTTGCTAATATCAAGCATAAATTTCTCTTGATGAAGATTAAGCCAATTACTTCTTGTCCTTCTTTCAGTGGACATGGAGAACAACTGATCACCAACATTTTTATAACAGTCCTTAGCATATTTAAAGATTTGTTATCAGGCCCTATGTCCGTCTTCTTTTCTTAGGACTAAACATGTCCATTTTTTTATTTTAGTGTTTTCTTGATAGGGAGGGCCCTACCAAATTCACGGTCCATTATGGTTAATTTCACGGCCATAGGATTCGAAAATTTGGTAAATTTCATGTTTTCAGGTGTTTCAATCTGAAATTTCATAGTTTTGTAACCATGGGGGTCCAGATCCAAAAGGGGATTATGGGGCAGTCACAAACCTGTTGTAGGGGGATCACAGGATTGCCACCCTCACTTCTGTGCTGCCTTCAAAGCTGGACTCTGAAGGCAGCAACCGTGGAGCTTCCTGCAACAGGAGGAGGTTCCCGGAGGTGGTCTGAGCTCCCCCCAAGAGCGGCTGTGCAGGGGTGGACAAGTCCTGTTCCTCCCCAGCCCAGCCAGAGCTAGGAGCCCCCTGGCTGGGGCGCTCCTAGCAGCAGGGGAAGATCAGACCCACCTTCAGAAGCCTCCTCCAGCTGCAGGAACCTCTGGGGCTGCTGTCCAGTCTCAGAGCATACTGCAGCAGAGGAAGGCACCTGAAGGTGGGTCTGAGCTCCCACTGAAAGCGGTTGTGCAGGGGTTGGACAAGTCCTGTCCCTCCACAGCCCAGCCAGAGCTAGGAACCCCGTGGCTGGGGCACTCCTAGCAGCAGGGAGAGATTGGATTTCACGGAAGGGCTTATTTCACAGTGTGTGACGCATTTTTCATGGCCGTGAAATTAGTAGAGCACTAGTCATAGGACAGGTTTTCTAAACCTTTTTGTCATTTTTGTTTTTCTCCGCTGAACTCTCTCCAATTTGTCCACATCTTTCCTAACGTGTGGTGCCCAAAATTGGACACAGCACTTCAGCTGAGGTGTTACCACTGCTGAGTAGAGTGGGACAATTACCTCTCATCTCTGACATACGACACTGCTGTTAATACGTCCCAGAATGATATCAGCCTTTTTGCAAATTCATCACTTTGTTGACTCATATTCAACTTGTGGTCCATTATAACTTCCAGCAGTACTACTATCTAGCCAGTTATTCTCCATTTTGTAGCTGTGCATTTGATTGTTTTTTCCTAAGTGAAGTACTTTGCACTCATTTTTATTGAATTTCATCTAATTGATTTCAGATCAATTTTCCTTTTTTGCAAAGCTGTTTTCAATTCTAATCCTATTCTCCAAAGTACTAGCAACCCCTCCGAGCTTGGGATCATCCACAGGTTTTATAAACATAGTCTTTACTCCATTATCCAAGTTATTAATGAAACTATTGAATAGTACTGGACCCACCGCATGGTACATCGATGGGTAGCGGAGTATGGCCTCTGTGAGACCCCACTAGATTCGGCCCCCCAGTTTGATAGTGAACCACTGATAACAACTCTTTGAGTACAGTCTTTCAACTACTTGTGCCACCCACCTTATAGTAATTTAATCTAGACCACATTTTCCTAGTTTGCTTAAGAGAATATCATGTGGGACTGTGTCAAGAGCATTACTAAAATCAAGGTATATCAAGTCTACTGCTTCCCCCTTTCCTCTAGGTCAGTAACCCTGTCAAAGAAGGAAATTAGGTTGTTTTGACATTATTTGCTCTTGACAAATCCATGCTGGCTATTCCTTATAACCCAATTATCTTCTAGGTGCTTACAAATTGTTCTAGAAATGCCTCTTCTTGATTTGGTGGTTTATAGTAGACCCCTACCATGATGCCACCCTTATTTCCCCTCCTTTTATCTTTACCCAGAGACTTTCAGCTGGCGTTTCTCTCATCTCTTTCTGGACCTCAGAACAAGTGTATATATTCTTGCTGGATAATATAATGTCTCTTCCCTTTTTTACTCCTGTCCTTCCTGAAAAACCTATACCGCTCCATACCAATATTCCAGTCATGAGATTTAGGCCACCAAGTCTCGATGATGTTACTTAAGTCATAATTTAGCTTATGTACTAATACTTCCAGTGGTCTCTGTTTGTTCCCCATACTCCTTGCATAGATAGATGTACCGTGTGCATGCGCATGTGCATGTGTATTTATATAACACATACATAGATACCTCTGACTTCCTTGCCTTTGAATTTGGGGAGTTTGGATAAAATGTGACCTTCATTCAAATCACTCTTTGTTTTGGTTATGATTTTACAAAGATTAAACCCAATTGACAAGGGAGCAGATTTTCCAAGTGCGTGGCATTTAGGCACCCAAGTCACAATGAAATTCAGTGGGTCTTAGATACCTAACTCTAATTTGTGCCTTTTGAAAATCTATTTCTGTGTTCTCAAACCAAAGCACCGTTTGTTTTGCCCATCTCTAGTTATTTTATATGTGTCTTTGATAACTGTCTGTAAAAAAGCAAAGAAGCAAACACCTCCCCAAAAACAATAGACAAAAGAGAGGCACTTTGCGCAATTTTAAAAGTAAGATACACGTGATAAACATTTTTCTAATTGAATAAGCAAGTACACCAGTACACTTAGTAGCTCACATTCTTCACTTTAATACATTGGCAGAAATTACTTTATGCAGTACAATATGCAGTGGTGAAACGCACTCATTTACCAATATACAGCACCTTCAAACAACTTTTGGTGACTTCAACACAAACTAAATAACAACACTTTTAAAACAGTGAGGGGGGGAACCCCAACTCCCTCCCTCCAAAACCCCACCAAGACCTGATTACAAGCTGCCAGACTCTTATCAGTCCATTATGGCCTAATGTAGCCCAAGTTTCCAGTTGATAACACTCTGAGGCCTACCTATCATGCGATTTAGTTCCACTGAGAACTCTAGGGCTGTTGAAAAGTGGAGAGGTGGGGATAAAATGACATTAGTGAACTACTTGGGCATGTATAAGCATCCTGGTACCTTCATTTGGAGAATTACAAATATTAAATGTAAAAAAAGAAAAGTACTGATACTTTTAATCCGATTTTGTTCTAATGTAAATGCCCTGACCCAAATACTGTAGCCTTTTTACATTAGGAATTTCAAACCAAAATGTTAAAACCCTTTCCCTGATGTTCCTATGCATGTAATTAATGAAACAGCAAAAACAGACCCCTATTGACTTTTGAACACACACAATCTTTTAGACTTACAATGGTGACTTTGTGAAGACAGAGCTGCAGCTGTATCTACCTGCAAGGGACATTTCCTCCTCTGTGGATTTCCTCCTCTGTGAGATTTCCTCCTGCTACTACATCTGTAGTAGCAGATACACATGGTAATTGTGGTAAATCTGTTTATAATGGGGAAAGCTAAGATCTCTCTTTTTTTGTATACAGCATGTTCAGAAAGTCAGCATCCCCTGGAGTAGGAGCATGCAAGAAGGCATTTGAAGCAGGGTGATTTAAAAAAAATTAATTTAGCATTTACAACTTTTTTGCTGTGTGCAGTTAAGACAGATAAATTATCTCATTGGCATGGCAGCATGCATTCATTATGCTGCCAGATGGGAGGCTAAGGTTCAAAAGCAACCACTGAATCCAAGGCTCTGGGCCAACAGAGAATAACTGTGATCAGCCTCTTGGGAAAAGCATGCTGCTCCTGTTATTCATAAATCTCAGCAGCAATACCATCCTTTCTAGAGCAAGCCTCTTAATGTAAATATTGTGAGCTCCATCCTGCTGCTACTGAAAGAATGGCCAAACTCCCAAAGGAGTAGGGTTTGGGCCCGGAATGTGTAATTGCAACCAAAATACCTGCATTTTTCTTCTCTCTCTGTTTTACCCATATTTTCTGCTCTACAATCAAGAAAGCAGGAAAAGATTAATTTAGGTGGGGATTGTCACCTGCCT